TGTTTTTTTGCCTTTGTATTGTGCAAATTCCAACATTCATGCTCACGTACTTGCTTTTCATGCAAGCGTACCGACATACTTGTGCGTGCGGAGGTGCTGCTCGTGCAAAAAATATGTCTAAACAGCCTCCACATTAGGAATAGGTACTGCAGATTCCACCCGTATCATTTGTACATTGGCACACCTTGGCTGGACTCGGGGAACTCACCACCACTCACACAGAGAGCCCTCCATCATTCCTCACCGGATTAGAGACAAAAAAAAAAGAGAAAGACAGGGAGAGGGAGAACGTTGGAGAGAGCGGGATTGCTCTTTTACTTTCTGTAGCTGGCAGAGGTTTTACTATAATTTGGCTGAAATAATAGAAGTTTTAAAATTGCTACTAGTGTCTCCTTCTTTTTTTTTCTCCCCCCCTCTCCGTGTCTGTTCATTTCAAACCAGATGTCAATTTGAGGAGGCGCAAGGAGTCGATGCACGCCAATGAAGCAGTGTTTGAACAAGGGGAAAGCTCCGAAACAGCATATGTGAAGCATACACAGTGTCTGACTCACTTACAGATGCATGCTGCCTCTCCATGGGAGTTTAATGAGTTTGATACATGAGATATATTTTTTTCAACAACAGTCAACTCCACCTAGTGGTGTTTGCACTGAACAGATTTCTGGCTGCAGTGAGGAATGGACTGTTATGAAGGAAACAGTACACCAGCAATTGTTTATCTGCACTGAGACACTTTACCCTGAGTTTGCTCGGGAAGGGAGGATCCACACTAAGGTTTTGGATATGACTCCCACAAAAACTACAAACTGCGCAGACGATGTTGCTTCTAAGATCTGGCTCGGTGCCTTTTTGACGCAGACTTTCTGTTGCTAGAGAGCAGTCGTAGACTGTGTTAGTAGGTCTTCTCAGCACCCCTTGGCCTGGCATCTGTGAGGCTTGCTCACACTTGCTTTCACCTAGCATGTGTTTGCTCAGATGAAGGAAATTATGTAATTAGCCGGTGAGGGATTGTTTTCTTTCACTCTTTACCCCTCTCTCTCTCCCGCTCTCTTGCCTTTACCTCTCTGTCTTTCTTTCCCTCCCTCTTCTTTTTTTTGGTTGTACTTATTCTGTCTTCTCTTAGTCCTATGACAGCAGGAGATGGTTCCAATTTAAGCCGAGCCACACCCAAGCTCACCTCCTTCATTAATTGCCAGAAACCATCAGGAAGAAAATGAACGCTTGTCATACAGATCCATCTTAGCTGTTGAAGAGCTGCTTTGTTAAATATCAAAGGTGGGAGGCGGGGTGACGTGTATTAGAGAGTGGACGCTTTGGTTGTGTGATGGGAATGGGGGGGGGGGTTGTGTCGAGCTGAGTTAGCTTGGGTTGTGTGCTGGGAGATGGGTTCAGGGGTACACACAGGCAGATTTGGGGGGTGGGGGGGAGGAGGAAAACCTGGCATTTTGCTCTCTAATTCCAGCCGGCCTGGAGGCCTGGAGCGCTAAGAAGGGCCTCACTGTTGCTCTCTGGATCAGCCAGGTATTGCTTACATAAAAAGCAAGTGAAAACAGCTGTAGGGATAATTAGCTTGATTCTCCATTACATGCCATGAGGGCCAATAACTAAAAAATGGAGTTTTGTTTGGGTTAGAGCTGCAGTCCCAACCAGGAGGAAGTTGTAAAAGTCAGGCAGAGAAAAGAAAGAAAGAGGGTGGAGTGGTGGTGGGGGGGAGAAGGAGAATTTGAGGGAAGAAGGAGTGAGCTCTTGAAGCAATTGTTGCAGAGGAGATATTCGCTCTTGTCCTGGGACAGCTTGATATAGACCATATTTCTTAAGGGTTTCAAAAAGCTATGTTTTCATAATGATGGAATGGGCATGTGCACGCAGCCCTGGATTCTTTTTTTTTTTTTCTCCTCTTTTGGTTCGCTGGATTGTGCGACTTAAGATCAATGATTTGGAACATGACCAGTTTTTTACGTTGGCTGTATTGTTTTGCCTTAATCGCTTCCTTGCAATTGTGCAACGGAGAGACTGCACGAGGATTTTTTTTTAATACCGTCATTGAGCATGTTGAGTCACCGTGATTTAAAGGCTTTCCATTCAACAAATCAAACACAAGATTAAAGCAGCGACTTGTGTGCAGTCGTATTCACTTGCAAGGCGTTTTGGAGAAACTGCTTCTCTTTTGACCTTCTTTTCTGAGGTTAAATAGACCATCCTCTCTGAAACTTGATATGGTTTGTGGTCGTATACTAGGTCTGCATTCATAAAATATCTCAGTAAAACAAAACATGGATAAAAATTGAGGCGGAAAGTTGTCACTCTTCACCTGTAGTTCAACCCCAGTATCTGCCTCTTCATACCTCCAAATGACTTATTTTACATCTCTGCTCTTGTTAGAGTGAGTTACGGAGTGGGGGCTGAATCTTTGTACTGGTAATTGAATTTGGTGTGTTTCTCTTTTTTCTGCTGGAGTGAAAGAACCCCAACCACAGGCTAATTCCAACTGAAAGAGCAGCACTCTAACATTGGTGGTCCCCAAACTCTTCAAAGATCAATTGAACAGGCAGTTTATATGAGTAGCACTTAAAGACAAGAAGGGTTTTGGCCACTCGCATCCAAACTTTCAGATTTGACATCCAATCCACGGGACAGACCAGAAGATTCTGTGAGAAACCAAACAAAATAGGCACCTTATTATACTTCCTATCCACTCACCTGGGCTTTGGCGAGGGATGTTGTGTTCAGTATACATGGGCCAAACACTGGTCACCAAATGAAGCCTTAATTAAAACAGGGGCTGCAGAGGGCATTTGCAAATGTTGATATTTTTTTCTTCAGGCACAGGCTCAACTGTTATTAATATGAGAAAGTGTTAACTGCGTCTGATCCCATCATCAAGCACGCTGAGAGTGGAGGAGTAGGGAGGAGGATGAGGGTTACATGGGGAGTAGAAGATAGGAATGGTTGATTGGAGTTAGAGGCAGAAAGGGAAACAATATTTTGCCATTTAAAAGCATGCAGGAAAACCACGTTTGCAGTTAGGATTTTCTTTCCCTCTCAGTAAACTCACTTCATGTGAAGTGGCTCAATGTGATAATGGAAGGGATCCATCTGATCTATTGGAGTGTGTGTCAAGTGTTAGCATTTTAGTTTTATCAGTAGCTGTTCTGTGAAGATCCAGGTCAGGGTGTGGATGTTACAGTGCTATTTATCACATTCCCACACTCGGATCCAGTCAGAGTGTTGCTCATCACACTTCCTCCTCCGTGCATGTGTGTTCCCCGTTTTGTGGCAGATGTCCTCTTTGGTGCATTGCTGCCAAAAGAAATTATCTGCAGGTTCCTTATCTGAAATATCATTCAAACACTGGCAAACGTCCACTGGAACTAATCATGTAATGGAATTGTCTGGACACAGACAGACAGAACAGCTGGTTTGATTTCAGTTGTTTGAAATAATACAGCGAAATTGAATATTTTCTTTGTGTAGGTTTTTCTTTTTTGCTGCCTTTAGCATCCGATGGTGCAGAAAATTGCGGACATTGACCTTTGGGCTGTAAAAGCTTCAAGCACCCTGTCAGACCCATCTGAGCTCATCCAGTCTGTGCTTCTGTTTTTTCCTGGCTAATGAAATATGCATTGCTTTGTCACATGTTTTGAAAGCAGGCATCGCCATGACCACAAATGCAGCAGGAACATAAAATTTATCAGATTGTAACACTCCAACACAACATGCTGACATAAAATAATCAGCGGTCGATAAGCGTACGCACATTCACGACCACATAGACGCACATTTCCTCATTACCGACACACTTCCTCATTACCAACCTGAACACAGACGTCACATGTGAGTTTGGGTAATGAATGTGTCTGTTGTGTGGAGGTAGTGAGGTGCTGACAGAGAAGAAAGAGGAGCACTCTTCAAACACATCCACAGGCAGGTCGTGCTCTCCATTATGGTCTGCCGGGGGCCATATTTGTTGATTCTTGGGCCCCCAAATCATTAATTTAAGTGCAGTCACCAGCGGAGAAACCCGAGAATGGCGTCCAACGCACATACACAAATTCACACACACACAAAGCGTGTACATGTGGGTCACACTTAAATGCGATGCATGTACACAGACATACATGCTCTGTGTTGCATAACAAATGATGGCACTTTAATTACTATGCCTGTTTATTTACTTCTGGATGTAATTGATGGTCCTTCTTTCCCCAATCACAGTGGGGCAGGAAGAGTGTGAACTGCACTGCAAATCTGAACACATTCCTTACAATTTCACATTCCTCTTTTATTTATACACAACACACTCTAACTTAAGATGCCACAATTAAATACCAGTCATTCCCTTGCACTCAAGAGTTTTTGGGTCTTTCCACAAGTAGAATCTCAACATGTTCCTCAACTTGTGCATATCTGTGGTGCCCAACATACAAAGTTTGTCTTAAAGTTCTTCCACCATGCCCTCTCCGAGTGACTGATGATAACGTCTTCGGTGATTGGTAGTTATTTTGGGGCCTGTTTGCTCAGCCAATGAGGCGCCCCCAGCGAACTAGACATACATCATTGTTTCACAGCCCTCAGGAAAGAAGTGAGTTGTTGCTGACTGCTGAGAAGCCTGAATAACAGACACATTCCAATACTTTTTTTTCCCCCGTTTTATTAATGAGCACTTGATGTTTGGGCTGCTGCCAGCTGCATTTAGAGAATTCTTAAGGAGCTCTGGAGACTCGCCAGACAGTTTCAGGAAGAAAATGATCAAGCTAACGCAAAGGAAAAACAAAATGTCTACACAGGACCTGAGTGTCTAAGTTATATTTGTCCAAATACTTAGTAATGTTATTCTATGATGCAGCATTTTTTTGGGGGAGGACCAAGGAAATGAAAAACAACATCTTTAGCTTGATGACGCACCTTCATACTCCTGTGTGGTGTGTAGATTTTAGCATTTGGTTTTTAATCTTTGTGATTGACTGTCTCTTTTTCTCAATGCTTTTTTTTCCCCACAGCTGCTTGTGGAACCAGATGCCATGAGGTTGAACAGCTTCAACTACAAGAATAGAGATTCAGCGGCCCATATGTACCCACAATCATGACCACCAAGCAGATATACAGAAACGTTCCAGTACCCATCATTTCAACGTACTGAGGTCAGCGATCAGATGGTCAGAAACTCTCCATCTTACCAGTGAATGTCAGCATCACTGACAAATACAGTGACCCACTGAGGACCTGGGCCCACTGTGGGAGAGTGTCCCACAGGACGTCGACCGTTAGCATACAGTTTAAGGTACTGTCCACTGCCTTCATTTCCCTAACTGTTGAATACACCGGAAACTGGATTTATTTTACAGTACCATGGTGCTACAGAGTCCTGGCTTCACATCAACCAACAGCCACTACACTACAATCAGCTACAAGCGTGGCGAAGCTGAGCCAGTGGAACTAGCTGTAAACCCATGCCAAGCCTAGACTGGTTTATGATGGCATGAATGTGCTTACTTCTGCAGCTAAATATCAGACTTTTGTAAATACGACAACATGGACCTCAAAATCCGCAATCCACAGAAACCTTTTCAATGTACCGTGCCAAAGGAGACTACCGAAATGGGACAGCAAATGAATCATTCCCGATCTTAGACTCCCCAGTAAACCGCCCCTAGTTACACATTTGTCTATCTCCCATTTCCTGCAGAGAGATCAGCTCGAAAAAAGAAAAAAAAAAAGAAAAAAGGCAAAGTTGAGCTTGAGGATGCCTCACGTACAGATTAAGGATCAGCTTCTACCGTCTCAAAAAATCAGGACCTTAATTAAGAGGGAAGGAAGCACAGCTGACCTCAAATGAGCCAGCTTACTGTCTGTTTATACATTTCTCCTCGTGTGCTTTTAGCCTGCCGTGGGTTTGTTTAATGAACCAATATCATGTTCTGTTTGATTTTCTACAGCTGAAACAATTTGAGTGCCACTCTTTTTTTTTTTTGAAATTATAACAGCTGTGTGACTTACTATGCCGATGAGTGATGTGTTATTTCGTTGTCTATTTATTGATCTGATTGATCTGAGTGGCTAATCTGACTATAATGAAGTGACTTGCATTTTAAAGCACTGTGTCGTTACTTTTTTTTTTTCACTGTACTGGAGGGTTGACCTTAGGTGACGGTTATGCACAGTATTGTTGTGATTTAACTCAACAGTATAACAGTGTTTCCATCTGGCCGTTACCTAATATGTACAGTTTTTTTGTACAATATGCGTGTGCGTGTGTGTGTGTGTGTGTGTGTGGTTTTGTGCTGCTCTGTTGGTTGTGATGACTGTGAAAGTTTGAGGGTAACAGTATTCACCCTTGACTTGTTCCACGGTGTTTTGCAGTGGTCAGCTTGTTTCTGTTGTTTGAATAAAAGTTGTTTTCACAAGAACCGCAACATGTGCTTTATCAGAGCAACGCCAACACCGACATCGGCGGTGTTATTGGTAAATGTGAGCGCGAGAACGAGTATTTTCACAAGATTAAAGTTTCACCGCCGCTAATGGCAACTACAACAATAGACTCTTGCACTGCCCAAGAAAGAATTCTTCCCCCAGTTTTCATGGTCTACCAATTCTCTCTCTCTCTCTCTCTCTCTCTCTCTCATAAACTCAGCCAGATGTTGCCCAGTTTTCTTTCCTAGGGGAACGTGGGGTGGGGTGGGGGGTGATGGAGGAGAGAGGGAAGTAGCGAGGCATGGTGGTGGTGCTGGTGCTGGTGGGGGTCAGAAATGTGGCTGAGCATGTTTTAAGTGTTCTTTGACACAGTCACAGCCTCTTCAGCATCCACCATGGGTAACATTAGCTGGGAACAGAACTCCTCGTGTTTTTTTGCAGGCGCTTCGCACTAAATTCCGCCACAGGTATTCGCACACACACGAGGAGCTTCAGTCTTATGCACCACAAAAAGCTGACACCTTTTTCTGGCTTCACTACAGCAAAAAACAATTTCTCCTCACCATTGGACACATGGAGGTTTTCTGTTTTTGTTTTATTCTGCATTGTGATAGAAATGATACAATTTTAAAATCCAGCTTTGGAAAAAGCAAAATCCAGCTCACACCTGGAACTTGTCAGAGTGCTGATAAAAGTCAGAAAGTGGTGCATGCCGGAAGCCAAATGAACCATTCTGGGTCACAAGTAACAATCCTGTAAGGGCTGATTAAGACAACAAGATCAGCATTAACATCTCCTCACCTGAAGCAAGTCTTCATTATGGTGTGCAACCACATAATCAGGTGGCCTCCAATTCATTTCATATTCTTTTATTTTATTATCTAGATGAAATGCCTTTCGGTGTCTCTAAACTGGGAAAGCTACTGTGACACTACTTTGACACACAAGATAAAAATATCGAGCTGTAAAGCCGACAGATTCCTGCAGCATGTATTTTTTTCGAGATAATGCGCCATAAAATAATAATTACCGTAATGACCGTAATGCTTCGCAAGCCTCCAGGTGATGAGAGCAGCCTGTATAAGCACCACGATATGGACCTGCTTGTCTCGATTCTTCTGAGTGGTAACTCGATCTGCTGCCCGTGAAAATTTTTTTTTAAAACTCTGCTCTGGTATGGATAGGGTAATAGCCTCGGGTGCTTTATAAGTTTATTTTGGGTAATAGAGACGCTTGTTTTGTTACAGCCTGTTCCGCCCTTCTCTCTCTTTCTCTCTCTCTCTCTCTGTCTTTCTTTCTTCACAATTTTACCTACGTTGAAATTCCTCGCTTGTTGAAAGTTTGTGACTGGAAGAAGAAGAAGAAGAAAAAAATGCAGGGATTTGAGGGGGGAAGCGCATGCGCAATGTGGGGGTTCTTTTTTTTTGCTCCGCGCATCCATGCTGCAGTGTGGTAGACTGAGAGAGGAGGCGACTGGAGCAGGTGAGAGAGAGAGAGAGAGAGAGAGAGAGGAGGAAAGAAAAAAAGAGAGAGGGAGGGAGACTTTTTCTGCACTTCGACGCAGGCAGACGCACACATACGGTGTGGGAGGACGACGTACTCGGAGCCTCAGCAAAGCCGCTGTTGTTCACACGCTGCGCTCTTTTCCTCCCCCCTGCCCTGGCACCCTGCGCGCTCGCCAAGCCGCACTGTTTGGAGATAGTCCGCTCGGAAAGTTTTTTTTTTTTTTTTTTCTTTTTGGAGGGGAGCGTACTGCTGTCTGGAGCCGATTACGTTTTCTATTTATTTTTTTATTTTTTGCGAGGCGGATGACTCTGATTTGCGTGTGTGAATAACTCGAGCTGAGGAATTGTCACAGTCCAG